TGAATACTGCTACTACATACATGAATACTGCTACTTCTCTACATTGAACTACATGTCTACTCTACTGAATATGTCATATGAATACTGCTACTCCATACATGAATACTGCTACTCCATACATGAATACTGCTACTCCATACATGAATACTGCTACTACAAACATGAATACTGCTACTACATACATGAATACTGCTACTACATACATGAATACTGCTACTCCATACATGAATACTGCTACTACATACATGAATACTGCTACTTCTCTACATTGAACTACATGTCTACTCTACTGAATAATATTATTATTATTATTATACAGGATTTATATAGTGCCAACAACAGTTTGCACAGCGCTTTACAATATAAAATATGTCATATTTATAAATAAGCAGGCCAAAAGTCAACATCTGTAACCTGTATTAATCCCCGCACTGTAAGAGGTAGTTTACAAAGTGCTGACAGTACAAGTTTAAAGTAAACACCAAGCATGGAACATATGTACAAGAACCCAGAGACCATGTTATAGGACTATAAGTCCCAGCAGGGAGACACAGCAGTTTCTGAAGTGCTGACACATAGAGGTTTCTTAATCATACTATTTGCAGTATGACCAGCAACCAATCAGATTCAGACTTTCTTTTTCCATCTGTCATTTTCCCATGCAAGCATGAATATGATTGGTTGCTATGAAACAATGCGTACATTTCTTTGATGAACATTGAAGCTTTCATTGTGCTTTGTAGTCCTTGACAGCTAAAAGACAATAGATGGCCACAGTGATTTCAATATTTATTGATGTATAACATTTCAATGTCATTGTATTGTAACACTCACAAGCTATTACCTACAGCAATCAATCTACTAATACCGAATGGGACATTGACACAGCAGAGTGCTGCCCATTTCTTAGATCCACAAAGAGATTCCAGCATGTATTATGTGTGAAGAAAACAAGATTCTTCCTAATTGTTTTACAGCATCCATGTAGTGTGCACAGGATATAGGCAACGAGCGTTCTCATTAATTATCAGAGGGACTGTCCACTATCTGTGGTCTGAGAAGTGCAGACAAGGAACCAGTAAAGAGCTCTGAGATGTTCTGTAAATGAAACCTTGCATATATCTCTGCCTCAAGGATGTTATCAGCTGTGCTGTCAGATCATACATCAGAGCTCTGTCAGCCTGGAATGGGGAAGATGGAATTGTTCAGCATCCTTTTTACATATAGAAGCTGAATCTAATCCGCCGAATGAAAAGGAGCACAACAAATATGTTACTGGATGTGCTGTGTCTATTAATAATATCAGGAGTGAGCAGCCTGCGGTATTATAGAACTATGTCTGATTTCTGGGGTCCAGTCTATGATAGGAACATAACATACACTGAATCACTGTTAGTCCCCTTTCACACGGGAGGTCCGATCAGGTTCACCTGTCAGTTTTTCAGGCAGATCTGATCGGAAGCCCAATGACAGTCTATGGCCTGCTGGATCTAAATGGATGTGCGTACAGTTACATCCGATTACACCCGACTCCGACTAGGTCCGGACAAAGAAAAACAGAGTTCCATTTGGTGGACCTGATTGTAATGGTGGTGATGTGTATGGACACATGTCTGCTTATATCTGACTCCCCATAGACCTAACATGGGTCCATACAGCTCAGTTTTTAACTCCATCACAAGATGGAGGGAAAATCCAAATGGATACCGATGTCACAAGAGTGACGTCTATCCCGTACTGCTCCCATCAGCAGGAGATCTGTGCTTGGATTCCCTGATGATCGGAACAGACGGGACCCATGTAAAAAAGGGGCCTAAAGCTGATCGTACACTGCCCAAAACAGTCTGCTGATTCTGCTGAAATTAACTGTCAGCTGCAGTTACTGGTTGGGTATTCTGGTATTCTGGTAGCCATGTGTGTCATCTGTCAGAATACAATGGCCGGCAGGGGATATTCCCCCATCCATTCTGTGTATGGTGGATAGCGGAATCAAGTATTTTATCTCACTCTAATCCTATGACCTAATGTATGGGTCCTGATGTATAACCAGCAGAAATATTGCAATGAATAATGTTTGCTGCACATTTGCACCAATGTGTCTACTCTCTGCCCAGGACAAGGAGTATTCCCCCAAACTGGCACCAGTATTGGTATTAGAAGTATACTTGAGAATTGTTGGGGAATGAAGCAGTTTGTAGCTTTAAACATACCTGGAACAAACACAGACCTATTCAAATATGAAGCTATTCAGGCCATGCAGAGGTTATCCTACAAGTGACAATTAGCACCTCCATTTCTAAGGAGTGTTATCAAACATTGAGATGGAACATTACCAGTCATTCTCATGGAAAAGGCAATATGCCTTACATCAAATGGGACAGGGACCAAAGTCATGACAGGTTCCAGCAATGGAGCTGAACATGGCCAGACCCCTCAATGTTCCTGGTGAAATATCTGCCTGTGCATGGTAATGCCATAACAATATTGGACCACCTGATCCTAATCTGTTTCTAAGGAGCTTACCAGAAAAAGTGTGTACTCCGCGAAAAAGTGTAATATTAACATTCCACAATGGCAGCGCGACAATTGTTCCCAGATAATATCAATATCATTATTTATTTCACCATTGATGGGTTCCTCTGTCATAAATATCCAGTTCCAGCAAAGTCATGTAAAGCCCAATATCCTCCTGACAAATTTTGCGCAGACAAAAAATAACAGTACCTCTCACCCCGGGCTGTACATATCCCAGGAGCCAGGTAGCCAATGCTCCTTAAAGATTACAGGAGGCACCTACGTTTTGAGGTTCTCTCTAGGTTTCATCAATGGAGCTGGCTCCTTAAAAGAATCCTGTGGCTCCTGTGTTACCTATATGGCTTCTCTATGAATTCTCCTTTGTGCCATATTAGGATTGGTCATGCTTTGTATGTAGAGTTAACTGTGGACACATCACAATGACAAAAGGAATCTATTAGAGTAGAAATATTGGCTGCCGCTGCTGGTTTGTTTTTGAAGATGCAAGCTCCGGGGCTTCTGACCCGGAAAGAAGTGAATGTGCATCTGATATGTTGGGATACATATGCTTGTTCCAGGGCACAAGGTAGAGAAGCAATGATAAGAATGACCGTCCTTGAGTCTGAACCTAAGGCAGCTTCCATATTGCCAACCTGACAGGTTCTCTTTAATGTTCTTTAAAGGAAATTCCATAGACAATTGTTTGCTTGCTTCCTCAAGGCAATAAGCGAAATCTGATCAGTCTAACAAGGTATAACACAAAACAAAATGACCAATACATGTCATTTACAATGCTGGCGTCTTCATTGCACTGACTAACAAACTGGGATACTGAGGATGCAAAATGGGACAGCACAGATACTTTGTGATCTGCTTTGCCTTACAGCACTGGAGTTCTTGGTTTAAATCCTGACCAGGGCACTATCTGTATGGAGTTTGCAGGACACTATCTCCCTGTGTCGCATGGTTTTCCTCCAGTACTCCAAAGACAAGCTGATAGGATGCAGGAGGACACAGAGCATGCATACCACTTGTTCTAAAATGGGTCAGCACAGAGGCTTAGTGGTTTGCTCTGCCATGCAGCACCAGGGTTCTTGGTTTGAATCCCAACAGGGACACCATGTGCATGGAGTTTGCAGGACACTATATCCCAGGGTTGCATGGGTAAAGGAGTGTAAGCTCTTTGAGGACAGGGATTGATTTGAATGTACAGGATGAAAAGTGTTGAAGAAATTGTCGGTGATATATAAATACCTGTAGAATATAAATAAATGGGATGTCAATGAGCCTAGAAAAAAGCATGGCTCGGAGATCTAAGGCTGATCATCATTGCACGCTTCTCTTCCTGTGTAGCATTCCTCTATAACTGAGGAGATAGACACAACTTTACACTTATCCTGATCACAAGCCAGTGTTCATATTGAATGCAGCTTATCCTGATCTGTCAAAGTGTAATTCAATGTAACAAAATGTATCTAAATCTAATAAAGACACTCTTCACTGCAACAGCTGAACCCAGTACAAGAATCTGCTACTTTGTCAATCTGCCACTTCTACAAAGTGATCCCTTGCTGATTTCTGAATCCTAAAGCTGTATATAAAGCCAGACCCCCCCAAGACCCTTGCCTTCATGTACGATGAGTGATCTCATCTCTGAATCCTAAAGCCCTATAATACCCAGATCCCCCCCAGACCCTTTGTTGTATGATGAGTGATCTCTAGACATACACAAGTTTCCTCTGTATACAGAACACATGTCAGTGAATGCTGCCACACTACCAGAGGAAGAAATCTTCTACAAAGTGATCCCAAGCTGATTTCCGAATCCTAAAGCCCTATCATACCCAGATCCCCCCAGTGATCTATAGACATACACAAGTTTCCTCTGTATACAACACACAGGCCAGTGAATGCTGCCACACTACCAGAGGAAGAAAACTTCTACAAAGTGATCCCTAGATGTTCTCTGAATCCTAAAGCTATATAATACCTAGATCTCCCCTCCCCAGACCCTTGCCTTGTTGTATGATGAGTGAGATTTAGACATAGACAAGTTTCCTCTGTATACAACACACAGGTCAGTGAACGCTGCCACACTACCAGAGGAAGAAAACTTCTACAAAGTGATCCCTAGATGATCTCTGCATCCTAAAGCTATATAATACACAGATCTCCCCCTCCCCAGACCCTTGCCTTGTTGTATGATGAGTGAGCTTTAGACATAGACAAGTTTCCTCTGTATACAACACACAGGGCAGTGAACGCTGCCACACTACCAGAGGAAGAAAACTTCTACAAAGTTAACTTTTTCTATATCAATGTAAAGTGGGCATGGCAGAGAGTACACATTGTCACAGCACACAATACCTACACATGGGCACAACTCACTCTACACAACTGGGATGAGATCAGTGAACCCCGATCATCAGCGTGTGACCCCCCAATCATCAGATCCCCAGGGCACCCCGACAAATGACCGCACCTACCTCCACTGAGTTCCAGGGTGCTCTCGCTGGTGGACTGCTGGCAGGACCTGTTGGAGGAGCCCAGATGCCCAGTTGGGGCACCTCCCCTCTGCTGGCACAGGGAGGAGGTGGATGTGGCAGCTCTGATGGGCCCGTTCTGATAGGAGCTGTGAGCCTGCTGGTAATGATGCTGCTGCTGCTGCTGCTGCTCGCTGTTGCTGATGGAGGCTGGATGGTGCTGAAAGTGTGCGTGCAGCTGCCCTGCAGGTGCCCCCAGATGTGGAATCTCCACCATGGTGGGTCTCTCGTACCTCCTGCCCATGGACCTCTTGTTGGAAAAGGTTTTGAGGACGCTATAGGGGCTCCTCTGCTTGTAGATTTTAGGGATGCAGGGCCCCTCCTCTGCTGGCTGCATCTCCTCCTCCATCTCTCCGTGCTTTCCCTTCCCTCGGCTCGTCTTCTTGTCGCTGTTGCACTGCTGCTGAGCCGTGCAGGGGTGCCGTGTGATTGACAGGCGGCCTCTCCAATGCCTGGAGGGAGAAGGGAGGTAAAGAGCAAGTGTTTAGGGTAATATTTGCTAATGATGATGGGGGGAAGGGGCGGGTCTTGCAGCTGCTGCTGCCTTGAAGCTGGCTGAGCTATGCTGGGTGCTGGCAATCCAGGTGCTTGGAGTGCAGCCTGAGCCCTAACCTGAGGGTTCCCCCCGGCGCTGTGCATGTCCTTGGGGGTCTGCACCATTACAGCAAGACGTTTCCTACTCCGACAAGTACATCACAGCTGCTGGAACACAGGGAACCCCGACCTGAGCAACTTCACACAACCATAGAGTGCACACAACACAGCCTGGGATGAGGGTGTGCAGGACACAACCAGGGGTGAGATAGCGTGTGCAGAACACGACCAGGGATGAGATAGGGTGTGCAGAACAGGACCAGGGATGAGATAGGGTGTGCAGAACAGGACCAGGGATGAGATAGGGTGTGCAGAACACAACCAGGGATGAGACAAGGTGTGCAAAACCAGGGGTGAGAGAGTGTGCACAACATAAGCAGGGATGACACGTAGTGTGCACAACACAGCCAGGGATGACACAGAGTGTGCACAACACAACCAGGGATGAGATAGGGTGTACAACAACACAACCAGGGATGAGACAGGGTGTGCACAACCAGGGATGAGATAGGGTGTACAACACAACCTGGGATGACACGGAGTTACACAACACAACCAGGAATGATGGTGTGCACAACACAACCGGACGTGACGCAGAGTGTACACAACACAACCAGGAATGAGATAGAGTGTGCAGACCACAACCAGGGATGAGAGAGTGTGCACAAGAGATAGGGTGTGCAGAACAGGACCAGGGATGAGATAGGGTGTGCAGAACACAACCAGGGATGAGACAAGGTGTGCAAAACCAGGGGTGAGAGAGTGTGCACAACATAAGCAGGGATGACACGTAGTGTGCACAACACAGCCAGGGATGACACAGAGTGTGCACAACACAACCAGGGATGAGATAGGGTGTACAACAACACAACCAGGGATGAGACAGGGTGTGCACAACCAGGGATGAGATAGGGTGTACAACACAACCTGGGATGACACGGAGTTACACAACACAACCAGGAATGATGGTGTGCACAACACAACCGGACGTGACGCAGAGTGTACACAACACAACCAGGAATGAGATAGAGTGTGCAGACCACAACCAGGGATGAGAGAGTGTGCACAAAACAACCAGGGATGATATAAGATGTGCTCAACCAGTGGTGAGATAGAGTGTGTATAGCACAATCAGGTGTGACATAGAGTAGACACAGCATAGCCAGGGATAAGATAAAGTGTGCTCAACCAGGGGAGACATAGAGTGTGCAGAACACAACCAGGGATGAGATAGAGTGTGCCGAACACAACCAGGGATAAGGTAGAACGTGCAGAACCAGCAATGACGTAGAGTGTGCACCACACAACCAGGGATGACATAGCGTATGCTCAACACAACCAGAGATGACAGTGTGTGTTCAACACAACAAGTGATGACATAGAGTGTGCTCAACACAACAAGTGATGACAATGTTTGCTCAACATTACCAGGAATGAGAGAGTGTGCACAACACAACCAGGGATGACATTGGGTGTGCTTATTACAACCAGAGATGATATAGAGTGTCCTCATCGCAACCAGGAATTACATAGGTTGCACTCAACACAACCAGGGATGACATAATATGTGTTCAACACAACCAGGAATGAGATAGAGTGTGCATAACACAACCAGGGATGACATAGAGTGTACTCAGTACAACCAGGGATGGCATAGACTATGCTCAGCTCAACCAGAGATGACATAGGGTGTGCTCAACACAAACAGGGATGAGAAAGAGTGCGCTCAGCACAACCAGAGATGACATATGTGCTGAACAGAAACAGGGATGTGATAGGGTCTGCTCAATACAACCAGATATTAAATAGGGATAGTGTACACTCAACACAACCAAAGATGATATAGGGTGCGCACATCACATTCAGGGATGACATAGGGTGTGCTCAACACAACCAAGAATGACATAGTGTGTGTTCAACACAACCAGGAATGACACGGGATGTGCTCAACACAACCAGGAATGACACGGGATGTGCTCAACACAACCAGGAATGACTTATGGTATGCTCAACACAAGCAGGGATGACATAGGGTACACTCTATGTAACCAGGGAATCAGTGATGAGCAACACAACAAGGGGTGAGATAGGCTGTGGTCAACACAACTAGGAATTATATTGGATGTGCTCATCACAACTGAGAATGGCATAAAGTGGGCTCAACATAACCGTGGATAAAATAGGTTGTACTCAACATGACCTGAGATGACCTAGGGCGCACTCAACACAACGGGGATGATATAGGCTTTGCTCAACACAACCAGGAATGACAAAGGGTTTACTTAACACAATCAGTGGTTGGGTGTACAGAATAGGATGTCATTGACATTTGATCATCCTTTATAGAAGAAGCTGAAATGTGTAGAACTGCCTTTCCCAAGAACAATTCCTAATGTAGGAAGTGCATTTTAAACAGTCAATTTGAATTTTAAAAAGATCAGACAAGTTTCCAGCTAGATCAATTGCTTTGGTGTCAATTACTCACTATCAATTGTCATGGCAGCTTACCTTAATACCTCATTTTCAGAAATATTCATATTATATGCTGAATGCAGGGCTCTACCACTTTTTGTTGTGTATTATTTTTTCTGCATGTTTGTTATGTGTTTCCCCTACTTGTAAACTTTGAGGAAGTTGTTACTGAACAAAATAGATGATATTTTTTGCATTAGAGTCCAAGGCTTATCAGCTCCCAGGTTGTTCTAGAAGAATTTTATTTATAATGCGGTGATATATTCCTCAATAGGTCAGAGAGAACTTTGAGCTTTTACCTCTTACTACCAACATAGTTTAAATTTCACTGCCCTTTTTAAAGGAAAGAGAAAAGTACCAAATCAATGCATTCAACAATACAACAGCCATCAGGCGACTCATCTATCAACTTAAATATTTGATAAAACACTATGCAGACACAGCCCTAGCGAAATCTGGATAAGGTTTCAGTATGAACTGCAAGGCAAATATATATGAGGCCTAAACATGGCCAGTGCTGAACTCTGTTTAGAGCTGTAGCTAGCTCCTTTTGCGCCCGAGGCAAGAATAGAAAATTGTGCCCCCCCAACAGACGTGTGATGTCACTCGACGCCGCACACGCGCTGCATCATGTGACGTCATGTGCCCCACCTCCAGGATGGCGGCACGCATGTGCAGAATGCACAGGTGCACAAATCCAAAATTTTGTTTGAAGAAATTAATGAAAACATTTTTAGTTTCTGTTCATTTCGTCCAAAACAAATTTTTAGTCTTTGCATATGTCTAATAATATGTGTGCATGAGTGTGTTTGTGGGTTTTTTTTTTTTACTAAAGGGGGGTTTGGGGAAATATTAGGGGTCTAAACCCCTGACATTACCCTTTTTAAAAAGAAAAGAAAATTGCCATTCTGAGTGCAGCAGTGCTCTATTTTTCATCGGATCCCTGCTGCCTTTACCCATACAGGCGGGGGTGAGCGGGGGTGCCCCTGTTGCCATGGTGCCCTGTGCTTGCCATGGCAACAGGAGCGAAGGGGAACAGCCAAGCTGGCCCTGGCTGCGCCCCCTCTCAGCTGCTCTTGAGGCATGTGCCTCACTCGCCCCATGGTAGCTACAGCCCTGCATTATGACCACTGAGAAGTGAAGTGGATAAAATTGATTATCTCGTTACAATGGCACCTGAAAATGAAGGGCTATATTAGGCAGTGAGTAAACATTTTGTCCCTGAAGTTGATGTAGTGTTGGAAGAAGAAAAAATAGCTAAGCGTAAGGATTTTAGCTATTTCAAAATTGCTGTTCTTGTGGGATGTTCCAGGTCTGCAGTGGTCAGGACCTATCAAGAGTGTTCAAAGGAAGCAAAACCGGTGAACCGGCGACAGGGTCATGGGCAGCCAACTGATGCACGTGTGGAGCGAAGGATGGCCTGTGTAGTCTGATCCAATAGAAGAGCTACTGTAACTCAGATTGCTGAAAAAGTTAATGCTGGTTCCAATAGAAATGTGTCTGAACACACAGTGCATCACAGTTTGTTAGGTATGGGGCTGCATAGCCGCAGACTGGTCAGGGTGCCCATTCTGACCAGTGTCCACCGGCAAAGGCACCAAAAATAGGCATGTGAGCATCAGAACTGGACCACGGAGCATTGGAAGAAGGTGGCCTGGTCTGATGAATCACGTTTTATTTTACAACATGTGGATGGCCTGGTGTGTGTCTGTCGCTTATGTGGGGAAGAGATGGCACCAGGATGCACTATGGGAAGAAGGCAAGCCAGTGGAGACAGTGTGATGTTTGGGCAATGTTATGATAGGAAACCTTGGTCCTGCCATTCATGTGGACTTTACTTTGACATGAACCACCCACCTAAATATTATTGCTGACCAAATAAATCCCTGGCAGTGGCATCTTTCAGCAGCATAATGCTCCCTGTCACACTGCAAAAATGGTTCAAGAATGGTTTGAGGAACACAACAATGAGTTCAAGGTGTTGACTTGACTAAATTCTCCAGATTTCTATCCAATCAAGGATTTGTGGGATGTGCTGCAAAAACTGATCCATGGAGGCCCCAACTCGCAACTTACAGAACTTAAAAGATACTGCTTGCAGAGACTGCTACTGATGGCTTGGCACCAGATACCACAGCATTCCTTAGAGGTCTAGTGTAGTCCATGCCTCGGTCTCAGGACTTTTTTGCCGGCAAAAGCAGGACCTACTTAATATTAGGTGGGTAGTTATAATGTTATGGCTGATTGGTATATACAACTGTATATTAATGCTAATACTCATAAATGATTTAGTACTGGGCACTCACCAGAACTCATTCAGGACTAAGAGAAATCTTGAATTAAAATGCCAACTAACACTTAAATGATGAAAAGATAGGAAGTGAAGGGAAATGGAATTTTTTTTTATTTTCAATAAGTTTTTATTTGAATATTTCACATTTACAG